GAAACATGTGGGACTCCTTAAGGAAAAAGTGTCAAACTGTACTAAGACAAAAAAAAAAGAGAGACACAGAAATCTACTTAAGATTTTTATCTTAATATTAGTAAAAAGTTGCAAACAACCTAAATGTTCACCAAAAAGAGGATGGTTTATTATTTCTACCCCATCCTGTTCCAAAATGATTTTAAGGTAGCTTTCACAACGTACACTATGACAAAAATAAGTAAAGAATTCAGACAAAGAGAAATTTGAGGGATGGGCCACAGATTTCATTCTGAACTTTCTAGCAGCCAAAGACCACGATCAGTTATATGATTCATATTCACACCTCAAAACATTGAGTTGATTGGAAAAAGCAACTGTTCCTAGTACTGAGACCAAGGAGAGAATTTTCTCATGGGTCTCAAAGAAAGGCTACCACGCAGAATAGAGAATGGTCATTTTGACAACCTCATAAAACAGCACCCGACTTTTTAGAGCGGTTTTTTTTTTTTAACATTTCTTGCTAATAGGCCACACAGAACCAGTGAATCATTTGGTAAAGTGTATCTGCAATGGAGCAGGGAATGTGGTAATGGTTATGGCTGGGATGAACATGAGGATAGCCCAGTACATTGCTCTGAGGGGCAGCTCAATGGGGTAATACATTTTAGAGACTGAGGTTATGGTTGTCAGTTGGTGTCTGGTGCCACCCTGGTGTCCCTGTGAACCTTCACAGATTGGCCACTGAGTTTTTATAAATGTATTACATTTACCTACCTACCTATCTATCTATCTATGAAGGAAAGTGCCCTATTTATTTCAGGGTGCTAAGCAAGGAGTCCAAGGCAGCTAGTGCTCAAAACACCTGAACTCTAATTTTTTTGCTGCAGATGAGGATCCACACTGCTAAGAAGTTTGTCAGATAGTGTTGTGGGATGTAATTGCAACAGCCACCAGAGGTACCAGGCAGGAGGCGAGAAGTAACACTTAGGCTGGCACTAAAAAGAATTTAATTTGGATGGACTGAGCAGTCTCTGTACATAATTTCTCAAATTAGAGTTTGGTTAAGTGCTGTAGAGAACAAGTCGGCTGTGTCTGGTCAGTTACAGGTCCATGTACTTTAATAGCTGACTAATGGAATTAACAACCTCTGCTGAAGGTTGAGACACCTCATGAGATGAGATGCTTGAATAGAAGGCTAGCTTACCTAAAGATTTTTCTTAAGAGAAAACAATTTGAGGCTTGATCCAACATACGTTGGAAAGGGCTGTCAAGGTTTCTAAACTTCCACATCACAGAGCCTAGCCACATTAACTCTAAGTTTGGAAGAATTGATTTTTTTTTAATGAATAATACCAAACCTTGACCTAAGTAACAGAGGGAAGAAAAGTTGTAAGGTGTCTGTAGAACATCTGACTTTAAGCTGTATAACTTCCTGGTAAATCCTTCAAAAGGTAAATTGTGTCCAAGTAGGCAATAACCAGAGTGGTTTAGGAAGGTTTGGAATCTGAGTCCCAGCTTAATCTTTGAGCCTCAGTTTCTTCACCTATGAAATAAGGATATTAGTACACACTTTAGGGCTAACCAGTCAGTAAGATTTAAATAAAATAAAATGTCTGGTGGCCTCCTCTAAGCCATTTTGTGTCTGTGCTTCCCTGGCCAGAGTTGTGTTTTTGCTGCTGGATGGTCCTTGTCTAATGACTCCCTGGAAGAGTGAGCCCAGGGTTTGCTGAGTGCAGATACAGTGCAGATAAACCTTTTAAATTACTGCGTTGATTGGAAGGGCAGTCGGATTTCGCACTTTCAGGTATCTGAGGTGGAATTTTTTAAAGTGATAAGATAGCAAAAGTTTGAAAACCCTTGGATCAGTCTTGCCCTTTTCATCCTGGTCGTCTCTCAAGTCCAACCGCAGGAACAGGTATCTGGTGATCAGCTGAACCAGGGGTTAAAGGCAAAGGGCCGTTGTCCTAAGGGTGGTCACGCCTGGGCAACTCCGCTACCGTTTACTGTTGAGTTGGGTACTCAGATTAAGTTTTGAAGATTTTTCCGTTTGGCTTCGTACTCCTGAGCTCTTCATCATGGCTCCAAGAAGCCCTTGCCCAGCTTGCTCTGGTCTTGGCATTTACATTCTCAGATAAATGAATATCATGATATGTAGAATAAATCCAAGCTAAAAGGCCACAGTGTAAAACGTTCAAGAAGATAACAGGAGATACGAAGAATGTAAATGTCAGTGAAGTCAGTGCCTCCAACTGGGAAATCTAATCAGTACTTCAAGGGATTGGCATTGTTATCTCTGCCAGAGTTTGTTTTGTCTTTGAAAGTCAGAAAAAAAGTCCTAGGATGTGGACTGTGGGGATAGAGATGATTGCGTATCTTTCTAATATGAACCACCTCTCAGTATTTTGATATTATAACAGTTTCTTTCTCTGTTTCGTCTTAGCAAAGCCCTCTCCCATCAGGGCACGAGGGGAGGAGAAAACTTCCTGTGGCAGTGAAAAGGAAACCCTTGCAAACCCCAGAGCTGGCTAACTTTACTGGTTAACCTAGGGCCAGCTTAGTTCTGTACTTGCAGATGTGTTATGTCAAAGTCATATTGTGTCAAAGTCATATTGGCTATTCTTTGGCAAATCTTAGGCTTACTTTTTCAGGAGAAATGTTTTGTTTCCTTGGTCTGGGCTATATGTTAATTTTAATACTTCCATATTAAATTAAACTCAATGGCTTGATTTTATATTGAAACAAAACAAAAACTTAATGAAAAGCCACTGCCCTAGTTGGGCAGGAGAATTGAAGGAAGGGCTGCTCTAAATGAGTTCTGGTTTCCTGACCAAAATGGGGTACACACAAGGGCCCTGAGAATATTTGCAGATGTAATTCCTCAGATGCTTACTTTTGAGTTATTTTGGAGAGCAAGAAGGTGTTAGAAGCCTGGAGATATTAATACAGTCTTCCAAAAAAGGAATTCTATCAACTAGTCCATGTTGATTCCAGGCCAGATTCTAGAAGGCTCTGGCAAAGGGACAGCATGTACACCTCAAAAAGTAAGAAGCACGAGGCGTCTTAGCGCAGCTTCTGAACAAAGGAGACTTGAGGCCAGGGATTCGCTACCCCATCAGATTTATCTCCCTCTTTCAATAATACGTATTTTGTAATGTTCCTTCCACTGTCCTGAACTTAAAATGAAAGATAATACAATCTTCCTATATAGTTACAAAACAAACATACTTGTGTATACAAATGCCTTAACAGTAAGTAAACGAGACATTTTAAATTGTGAATAAAATTTATTCTCATGTGTGACTGTTTGGGTATGACCATACTGTAAGGTATTAAGAAGTAATCAAAAACTTTTTTTTACCAATATGTAGAATCACCTAGAATGCAGACAAATGCAGACTGTCAGTTGTATTAGCATTTCTTCCAGTGATGTGGTTTTCAGAAATGGTGAACACCTCTTGATAAAGATCGGAAGTAAGCAAAGTATGATCTTCCTGTGATTTACCTGGAAGCTCCCTTCCTAGAAAATTCAGATATATTAAAACCATATTAAAAAAGACTGTGTTTATAATGTGAAACTGACATAGGGGCTAGGCTAAGACAATAAACATTTAAAGGTCTCATGGTAGATCTTCACCGTGCAGAAACTGCCCACTAAGATGCTGCAAGATGCCCAGTGTGCCTGGCCTCTGCAAGCGGTACCTACTGAGCATGACAGCAAAAAGACTCCAGAGGGTGGCCCTGTCTCTGTTGGGAGTTTTTCATGGCCTTGTCTGCCAGATGGAAAAACACAGAATGGCTGACTGGCCTCATCCAAGGAGTTCGGATCTGTTGGAGAGGCTTACCTCTAGGGAAGGATGTTTCTAGTGACTTCTCTGCTGTTCTCCCCAGAGAGTAACAAAGGCTGTTGGACATTGGTCATTTTTTTTCTTCCAGTATTACTGCGCTGTAATTGATGTATAACATTGTACAAGTTTAAGATATACAACATAATGATTTGATATATGTATATATTGTGAAATGATTGCCATAATAAGCTTAGTTAATATCTGTCACCTCACTTAGTTACTTTTTTTTCCCTCGTGATGAGAACTTTTAAGATCTGCTCTCTTAGGAGCTTTCAAATATATAATACAGTGTTGTTAACTGTAGTCACCATGTGATATATTAGATCCCTAGAATTTACTTATAACTAGAAGTTTGTACCTTTTGACCACCTGCATCCATTTCCCTTACCCTGGATATTGGTCATCAAAATGACTACAGTTGACCCTTGAATAGCACAGGTTTGACCTGCACAGGTCTACTTATATGTGGATTTTTTTTTTCACTAAATACACACTGCAGTACCACACAAGATTGGTTGAAATCACTTATGCGGAACCACTGACATAGAGGGCATGTGGATTTTCCACCATGTAGAGGGTCGGCACCCTTAACACTCGCGTTGTTCAAGGGTCAGCCATATTTGGATTAGATGTTCTTTTAAGGTGCTTTCTAACTCTAAGATTTTCTGTTTCTCAATAATGGTATTTTTGACTCTTCTAATTGTTTTTGTTCTAATGAAAAAACATAATTGCATTAACAAGTATTCAATGTCAAAGATGCCTAGCACCACTGTGATTCTCTTCTGTGACCCTTTTCATTCTAAACCTTCAGGTTTTAAGTAGTCCTGTTCATTCTCTGAGCTCAGCCACTTTTGACCCTCCCTCCCCTGTGGAAGCCCCCGCTGCAGAGCTGACAGTCCCTTGCTTCCATTGGGTCTTTAGAACAGCTGTCAGCCAGAGAACGAACCTACACAGTCTGCAAAAGAAATCTCTGCAGTTTTTCAGTGATTCAGTTTCCAGATCACATGTCGTATACAGAGAGGGTGAGTGTAGACGCTGAGAGTGTGTGTGTTAAGGTTTTTGTTGGTATCCTGTTCGATTCTTATCTCTTAGGAATCAACTCCTAAAAGTTTAGATTTGAATTTTAACTTGTCTAATACCAAGTTTTTGTTTTTGTTTTTTTTTTGTTTTAAGGCTATTTCTGATGCTTGGAAGCTATCCTTACAGCCATAAAGATGGTAATAAATCTTTGCCTCCCACAGTTCAAACCAAGAATTTACTGCAACAAGGTAAACAAAACAAGTATATATACATAGGTAAATACATGACATCAACTTTTCTTGTTTTTCCCCATTTCCAGCCTTGTGTATGTAGACTTAATTCAGGCTTACTGTGCTTTCACCCTCATTCTGTTAGATTCTACCAGATGATATTTAGGTGAGCATGGGTCAGGCTGCACCTTTAGACTCAGTACCGTTACAAGCTGAGCTGTGACTCATTTTGTGGAGGGTGCTCTTCCCTTTGATGATAAATTTTAATTTCACTCAAAGTCATAGTGAAGGTAGAAATTCTCTCTCTCTCCTGCTGCTGTTCTTGCTAACTTCTCATGCTAGAAATAATGGCTTATAGTTGTTACTTGGATTCCTCGTTCTTTATTACTTGAGTTAAGCTGCCTCCCATTTTGTGCAAAGGAGGATATCTTTCCACAGTCCTGAGCAGGGAGTCAGGAAACTCCAAGGGGAGGGTTGAACTCCTCCCCTAATTTGGAATTTGCACACAGTGTGCTATTTCAGGTTCCCAGATTATTAAGCTGGCTCCTTCAGACAACGATAGTGTAAAATTCCCATTGATTATAACAAGTATTGGAAGTATTAAAAGAGGAAGAGACTACTCACAGTCCCACCCTAGCATACTCACTGTTTTAAATTTCCCATACTCTTTTTGTGGCCTTTGTCCCTGTGTACACATTTTTTCCCCCAAGTTTCATCATTCATACATTTACAAAAAGCTTGTTTGTTAAACTTTCCTAAGGAAATTGTTACAGTTGGTAGAGTCCAAGTATAAAATTGAGAGCTTTAGTGAACATCTTTGTTTTCCCCTAAATCTGCAGGTTTTCATCCTCTGAAATTAAAAAAAACCACTTGTATATTTGCCCCCTTTTCACAGAAATACTATTTTGAAGGGATTTTTGGTTGGCTAGGCAGAGTTTTATTGGTTAGATTTTTAAGGATGGCCAGTTGGCGGGGACACAGTTGCCTTCAGTCTTTGACCTGATCTTGGATGCCTGCAAAAAACAAAAACAAACAAACAAACAAAACCCCCAAGAAAATTCAATGTAATAGAGGAAATTTAAAGTGAGGAACTTTAGACTTTCTTTAGAGTTTTCTTAGAAGTGACAAGTTCTTGAAAACTAGTTGTCTTCATGTGGACCTCATCAAATTAGTGTGTCTCATTTTTGTCATTAAATCTAGATATCAGCTGATGGTTATGAAGTAGAAAATCTCATCTCTGAAGACCTCACAAAGAGAAGTCATGGTTTTAGGACAGAGTATTTCATTAAGCCACCAGTCTATGTGACAGTTTCTTTTCCCTTCAATGTGGAAATCTGTAGGGTTAACATAGACCTCACAGCTGGAGGAGGCCAGAATGTCACTGGCCTGGAAATGTACACATCTGCCGTATCCAGCAGAGCATCTTGGAATACCCCTGAGAGCCGGACCCTGGGCCCAGCTGAGCCATCCGTCCCGGACAAGGAAGCATTCACCTTGGTGGGCAAAGTCTTGTTGAAAAACCAGAGCCAAGTAGTGTTTAGCCACAGGGGCTTCAAGGCCAGGCCACCTTTTGGCCCGATGGATGCCACACTCCCCTCTCCTGCTGTTGTGGCCCAGGAACTCTGGAATAAAGGGGCTCTTTCTCTTAGTCATGTGGCCCATCTCAAGATCTGTATCACCCATGTGACAGGCAGTGGTATCCCTTGTATCAAGAGGTTGGAAGTGTGGGGTCAGCCAGCCAAAACCTGCTCTCAGGAGGTCATAGACAGTGTCCTGCTGGTTGCCTCAGAGAGCCTTCCTCAGGACTTGTCTCTGCAGGCTCCAGCCTTGCCCATGGAGAGTGACTGTGATGCCGGGGTCCAGTCTGAGGGCCAGCAGGCCCCCTCCAGCCTACAGGAGCTGGCCGAGGTAATTCAGGATGTACCTGAAGAGTTCCTGGATCCCATCACCCTGGAGATCATGCCTTACCCTATGCTGCTGCCCTCAGGCAAGGTCATTGACCAGAGCACCCTGGAAAAGTGTAACCGCAGTGAAGCCGCATGGGGCCGAGTGCCCAGTGACCCTTTCACAGGAGTAGCCTTTACTCCACACTCCCAGCCCCTGCCTCACCCGTCCCTGAAGGCCCGGATCGACCATTTCCTGCTCCAGCACTCCGTCCCTGGCTGCCACCTGCTTGGGAGAGCACCGACTGCTTTGGCATTGACCCCTTCTTCCATTGCTCTGCCCTCTCGGAAAAGGAAAATGGAGCAGGCTGAACATGCCCTGGACAGCAGCCTTGGCTTAAATGCTTCCTGTTTTTCTACCACAAGCCTTTTGGTCTCCCCTACTACCTCAGAGCACACCACGAAGAAAATGAAAGCTGCCAGTGAGCTCAGTCAGACACACATGGATTGTTCAACAGGTAATCTCCCATCCTGTGTCCAAGCCCATTGTCATCTCTGCTCCCAGGTGACAGTTGGCACTTGCCCTTTGTTTTATGCTTTGCCAGCTTAAATTACCCCAAGCTTACTAGTGTAAAAAACCACATATTCATTATCTTATAGCTTCTCTGGTCAGGAATCCAGTATAACTTAGCTGAATTGTCTATTTCAGGGTCCGCCAAGGCTGCTATCAGAGTGTTGGCAGGGCTGCAGCCATCTGAAGGCTTGACTGGGGAAGGATTCAGTTCTTTGCTGAATTGTTGCACTGGAGGCTTTCTTCATCCTTAGATCTTTTAATGTGAAGAAGTACATTAATAAGCTTCCTAACATTGAATCGTTGTTATCTTCTTGAAGGGAACTCCATTTGGTCATGCTTCTTTCAGCGTGCTGCTTGGTTCTGTTTGCTAGTGTTTTTATTTAGGATTTTTACATTCCTTGGATTGGACCACAGTTGTGTGTGTGTGTGTGCGCATGCGCACACACATGTGCACACCATCTTTGGTCAGGTTTTGGTGTCAGGTTTATTTGCTCTATAAGTAGAATTAGGAAATTTTCCTTTTCTAAACTCTGGAGCAACTAGTAGTATTAGAAAAATGTGCTCTTTACATTGTTTGGTAGAATTCCCCTGTGACTGTCAGTGCTTGGTGCTTTTGGAGACAGCTCTTTGACAAATTTTTCTTTTTCCTTATGAAAACCAGTCTGTTGAGATTTTATCATTCTTTAATTTCCTCTCTTGTTCTAAAAGGCTTATGCAGTAGTGCACTTAAAGTCTGCATCTCTGTTTTCTCTGGCTTTGAGTGTAAATTTTAGTTAACAAGACCCTCAGAAACTCCTGGAAACGTCTGAGATGCAGTGGAACAAGATGAGGAGGAAGGTGCTCAGACCCTGATGTCTGTGGGAGTCTCCAGTGATGTTGGCCTTGACAGATTTGTTGGTAACACAGGACCATGCTGACCAGTGCTACTTCAAGGCCTCCAGTTGATAAGCCTGTGTCCTACATACTATAGACCAAACATTCTACACCCCAGTTTGGGGTGGTTTTGTGGACCCTGCTACCAGACAGATCTCTGGGTCCTTTCTTGGGCAGCTGTCCCCCTCCCCCATTGCCTTTGTCCTCAGCACACAGCCTGAGAAGGCCCTCTAGATAGTGGGGCGGGCAGAGGGAGGGCTTCATCATTCCACTCAGTAACAACCGCTTCGCTTTAAATTTACCTAAGGAGAGAGAGGACACGAACACCAAGAGAGTGCAGGCCAGTGGCCTTGCAGAGTGGTGGCGAACCCCGGAGGGAGGAGACAGAGAAAGAGCAGCCAAGGCTGTTGGGGAGGGAATAGGGGCAGGGAACAAGGCTGGGCCTTAGCTTGCCCCAGTCTTCTCCCTGGCAGGCAGGGAGGCCTTCGGAAAGTAGGGTGCAGTTCTGCAGGTGAGCCACAAGGTGGCCTAGGCCTGCTGAGTAATTTGTTGAGGAGGAGGAAAGAGCGCAGAGCCCAGGAACCCTAAAAGCAGTGTGGGATGGGTAAGAACTGCCAGGGAGCCTAGAGCTTTAACTCCTGGTCGTCTGTCATCACAATCCTCTAGTAGACATCAGAGAGGACTCTCTTTACATTTGTGTCTGTTGGTTGGAAGTACCATTTTGGGGTCCTCAGAGGACCTTGTGTTTTGGTCTTCTCTCTCTGGATATTGTGGTCTGTGCATCTCTCAACAGGTCCAGTGTCCCATGAGCAAAAGCTGTCACAAAGCTTGGAAATTGCCTTGACGTCGACCCTTGGCTCCATGCCCTCGTTCACCGCTCGGCTGACCAGGGGACAGGTCCAGCAGCTTGGCACAAGAGGGAGCAGTACTTCCTGGAGGCCGGGCGCCAGCTCGGGTAAGGTGGGCCCTGTCCGTTTCCTTGGAGCCCTCAATCAGGGTGCTGGGCCATGCCCTGGGGGCTGTGTGGACCTCTGCGCCCAGCCTCCTCAGTCCTGACACCCAGGCCTGGGGCTTGAACCAGGGAAAGTTGAGGGGCTGCCTGTGGAGTTTAACTTCTCGCAGAAAAGGCTTTCTTTAGTCGATTCTTAGTAATTCTGTGGACTTAGGGCTTAGCTACCCTCTGCTTTGTTTTTGGTAAGGTCTAATGTTAATTATTCTGTCCTGAGGACTTTTTTTGTCTCTCCTTTTTTGTTTATTTTTCTCACATAGTCTGCCTCCCATCTGACACCTGGGGTACTTTATGTGAATGTGGAGGGCGGTTTCAGATTGAGTATATCATCTTTATCCCTTCTTGTTAACATTTTCACCAGCATCTTAGAACAGTGGTAGCTTACTGAGCCAAGTTGTGCCTAAAACGGACCTGGGACGGCATTGGATGACAGAATCAATTAGGATACAAAGTGAGAGGACCCAGGGCCTTTTTCACAAGGTGAAATCTGGTGGGGCTAACGATAAAGTGTGCGCTTGATTCCTCTGCCTATCCAAAGTCAGTCCCTTCCCTTGTGGTCTGGATCCCAGGCCATCTTGCCTTTCTGTCTCATGTCCTCACCTCCCTGTCTCTCTGATTATGTTTCCATCCTGACCATTCCCAAGAACTTGTCTTGTCCAGGTGACAGCAGTTTTCATGACCCTAAATCCGACGGTCACTTACCCTCTCAGCAGCACCTGTTGGGGCTAACCAGCCTCTCCTTCCTGAAACAGTCTCTCTTCAGTTTCCATTGCTAACTCTTCCTTGTCTTCTAGACTCTGGTCTTGGTACCCTCTTCCCTATACTCTGTGTCATCCAAGTGAGAGCCCATTTGGTGACTGCCGTGTTCACCTATAGCTCCTGCCTCTCCTTTACTCAGACCCCGACCTTCCTTACAGCTACTTGGCACCTCTGTGTGAGAAACTCATGGATATCTTGAGTGGAATTCTAACTCAGAACTGCAGGCACCTTCCAAAGTACCCCCCCACCCAGTCCCCCATCATCCCATCACTGGTAAAGAGCAGCATCTTCTGCCTTTTAGTCAGGCCTGTAACCTGGAAGTCATCCGTGATTTCCGTCAACATTCCTGACATTCTGTTCATCATCAAGTCCTGTGTATACTTCTGCAAAGTAGGTCTCAGGGAGGTCCTCTCCGCTCCTTACTCTTGCTGCTGCCCTGGCCTTGGCTCGTGTTCCGCTCCCCCAGATTCCTGTGGCAGCCCCTGCTGCTCCCCAACAGACACCCTTGCCTGGCTCATCATCTTCACAGGAGCCAGAGGGATCTCCTTACAATGTAAACCAGGTCATGGTACTCCATTTCTTAGAATCCTTCCAGGGCATCTCATTGAACTTGGAATAAAATCTAAACTGCTGCCTGTGAGGTCCTGCATGCCCTAGCCCCACTGCATCCTGCTCTGCAGTCTCATCTGAAGCCACACTCTCACTGTTTCTTTAAGGGACCGGCCACTCTTTGTACTTGCTGTCTCTTTCACTCTTGCATGGCTGGCTACCTTTCATCCTTATGGCTCTTCCCTCGAGAGGTCATCCTTGCCCTCTCCAGATGGGTGCGGACTGGTGGGGAAAGAGCTGCGGCCCTAGGCAAGGGCCCTGAGAGGAGGAAGAGCTGCAGGTGTAGCTTAGGGAGGAGGGTGGCAGGACCTGCCCACTGTGGCCCTCATTCAGCAGACCCTGTGGGAAGCATGGAAGGAGAGAGCCTGCAGCACAGGAAGGGGATTGATGGGTTGAGAGGGGGCTCCAGAGCTACAGAGAAGCAGGTGCCAGGCTCAGCCGGCACACCTGCTACAGACAGACCTCAGACCTGCCCCTCTGGTGACCTCCATTCCTCCTTGACCTGCCCATCCCAGGTACATGAGGCCATTTTTTGCTTTTTTCTCTTCTTGTCATATCTCACCCTTCTTGCTGTTTATCAAGATAGTCTTGTGCCTTGCTCTGGCCTTGGCACCCTGTCCCAGAGGAAAGTCCATCTTGCTGGGAGAGCAGCAGGAAGGGCCCAGTGCTGCCCAGCAGCCCTCAGATGGCGGCTTTTCTTGAGCGTTTATTGGAGCACTGAGATTTGATGATCACGAGAAGGCCCCCTAGTTCCCAGGCTCCCTGGCACACTCTCCTCCCAGATCAGTCAGAGGCGGCCTAGAGAGGGAGAAAGCCAGGCTGCTCAGGGGTGCAGGGTAGAGAAGCTTCCGGTCCCACGCCAGGCATGTGCCCTCCCTTCAGGTTGGAGCCTGGATCCAGGGCAGTTTTCCCTAACCCTGGCCTATTTTTCTCCCTGATTTACCAGAGCAGCCTGGGAGCGTCCTGGGCCCCGAGTGCGCCTCCTGCAAAAGAGTGTTTTCTCCCTACTTCAAAAAGGAGCCCGTGTACCAGCTTCCCTGTGGCCACCTGCTGTGCCGGCCCTGCCTGGGTGAGAAGCAGCGCTCCCTGCCCATGACATGCACAGCCTGCCAGCGGCCCATCGCCAGCCAGGATGTTCTGCGGGTTCACTTCTGAGTGATCGGCCTCAACCCGAGAAGACCCATCGCTGGGAGGAGCTGAGCAAGAGCAGGAGTGGGGGTCAGCGCCCCTGAGGTCTGGCCAGGTCCCAAGCACAGAGGGGCCTTTGCTTTCCTAGGGGCTTTCCTGTTTTCCCCTCCCACAGTTCACACAGGGGCCTGCCGAGTGAGGGGAGGTGGGAGGGGCACCCTACGCCGCCCAAGTGGCAATAGGATAACAAAGCCATAGTTTGGGCTGGGAGGGATGGGGACATGTCCCTGCCCTTTCATGCACCCCTTCCAGCCCCCTGCCAGAGCCCAGGGCCTGCTAGAGCCAGCCCCTCCCTGCCAAGAGCCCCCTAAGTTGTCTGCACACACCCCTCATCTTACGGGTGGATGTGAACGGAGCACAGCAGACTGGCTCGGGGTGTCTGAGAGCCTCCGCCTTCAGTGTCGCCCAGAAATGGACCGAGGCAAGGGTCTGGGCAGTGAATGACTTGGCCCCTCTGACTCTCAGACCACTCCCAGCCTTAATAAAGTGATGGTTGACGTCCCCTGTGGCTTCCTCCCGTCTGTGTCATCATTCTCCTATAGCTGCACCCACCCACACAAGGTGGCACTGTCCCAGGGCAGCCGTGAGCAGTCACTGCAACCCTGTTAGGCTGTAATTTGGGTCAGTGGCCTGGAGTGACAAGAACTCGCCTTCGCAGAGGAGCCTGACCGTGAGGGCTTGCAGGGGGTGTACACACCGGTGGGGCAGGTCGAGCAGCCCCCTAAGCGGGTGACAGCTCACTTAGCTGCATGTTGATGGAGCTGCACTGTCCTCAGACGGGGAAGGGGTCTTTTCTGCATGGGACCTATTTTAGAAAAAAATACTTGTTTATAGGCTGCATTTTTTTTCTACTCAAAATTTAGTTTTATGGAGTCCTAGAGAGAATATATGTATTCCTAACTGTTTACTGTATGGAATAGGTTCTAGTCATGAAGAACGTCACTGAGAAAATACAACATGCTATTCCCGATTCCCTTCTGAGTATGTTTGGGAAGGAGGAGCCCAGTGATGCTTCATATTTTTATCCTTGAGATTTCATCACAGGGACCTGTGGACAGGCTGGGGGGTCCTTGAGGCTACCCGGGAATCTGAGCCACTGTCCCTCCTGCCCCTCCCACGGGCCCCTGGCCTCGCTCTAGGGGGACCCCCCGGGAGAAGGCCAGCGTTCTTTCTGGCTTCCATGCTTTGCAGCAGGGGGCAGAGAGAAGTACAGTTCTTAGACTAACGGGGCAAAGAGAGAGCGTCTTAAAAATACAGATTCTTGGATTCCAGATCCAAGAGTTTAGAGATTGGGGGTTGGAGTTAGAGAAGCTGTTTTTAAGAATTCCTAGAGGATGTGTATGTCCACAAATGTGGCTGCCGAGAGGCAATCCCACCCTCCCCTCTGCCTCTGGTGACGCTTCCCTTGACCCCTCCTCGCATGACCCTCCACGAGGCTCCAGGGTCTGTGCTGGTGGGCTTTCCTCTTGGCTGGTGAGGCTCCTTTGTCCTTTGGCTTTAAACATCTGGGCCGTTCCAGATGCTTGCCTTACCCTTCTTGTGTGCATGTGTTCTAGGAAAAGCCCCTCCGTTTATTTGCAGCAAAAGCTCTGCTGCGGTGGTTGGGCAACAGCCTAGTTCCCCAAGAGCAAATTCACTGCTGGGAGGCCGTCTCTCTGGGGGTTGTCCTGTCTGTCCCAACCTGGGAGCCTGAGGAAGCTGCCCACATGGGACCAGCAGAAAGCACAGAGTGCCCAGAGGAGGGCAGAGCTGCCTCCTCTCGTGCAGGGGGCCTGGTGAGCTGCATTTTGAACAGGCTCCTGCATCCCAGGTAGCTCTGCTGGGAAACCAGGCATGGGAGCCACGGTGGCAGACCGTTTCTGTCCTGCTCCCAGGTGGAGCCACCTTCACATCCTTGGAGATGCATCTATTTTTATTTTATTTTAAAGCGTCCCCCAAAAGGAAGCTGTCTTCTCACTACCCTTTCCAGGAACACACTAGGCACCGCTGGGCTCAGTTTCTCTCCCCTAGAAAATGGGAATAACATTTCTCTTGCTGCCAGCTAGACTCAAAAGGTTTGCTTCTCACCAGAGCCTGGGGCCAGGCACAAAGCAGTTAACCAATCAACTCAAGGAGCTGGACTCCACTGACTTTCTGAGCCAGCTCCAGACCCCACTGCCCCCTCACACGGGTTCTGTGGGGCACATGTCCCCTTTCCTGTAGCATTTACTCAATACAAAGTCAGTTTGGCGGCACGAAGCCCTGGCCCTTTGAGAGCAGAGGCAGGACCCCAGTGACTGATCTCCAAATCTCCATCCCCAGGTACAGAGTGAGACCTTGCCTGGAGTCCCAGCTGTCCTCCCTGGGTGTCCATGTCCCCGGCCCTCAGCCCCTCTGCCCTCACTCACGCTCACTCTGCTGTTGCCCTCCAGCCCCAGGGGCAGGCAGGAGGGAGGGCTACTCAGAAGTAGTCCTGAAGGTAGAAGAAGTAGGAAAACCAAATCACCAAGAAAATGAGCAGCTGCTCGGTGCTCGGAGTGCTCCAACCCCCTGCAGCTTCTGGGTCCTGTGGCCAGCGCTGGCCCCCATCCCCATGCCAGCCCTGCTTCCTTCTGTAGGTCAGCTCAAGGCCGCTCAGCCGCTGGGTGCTTTTCCATTCCCCAGGAAACAGGTCCTCTGCTGCCTGGGTTGCTGTAAGTAGGTCTGCAGACAAAGAGACCTGCCCCTGGAGGAAACCGCCCACCAGGCTTCCAGGCTGCTGCTCACCTTCCGCCTGCGGTATTGTGATGCTGGGCTGGCTGCCTTTGTGCGGGCCGCTGGGGCCCGGGCGGGACTGCCTCAGGCTGGCCCCCTCCTGCAGAGCTGCCCTCTCTCCACTTCCAGCCCTCTCTCTCCCCAGCCTGCTCTAGCCTGCCTGGCCTCTTGGTCGGCTTACACAGGAGGGCTCTTTCCTTCCAGTTCTAGGTGGGAAGGGGGAGTGATTGGGCTGGGAATTGGCCGAAGATGCACTGTCCATGGTAGCAGTCACTAGCCACAAGTGACTATGTAATCAAAAGTAAATGAAATGAAAACTCTGTTCCTCAGTTACATCAGCCACATTTTACATACTTTATAGTCATGTATGCTAGTGGCTACCCTGTTGGACAGCACAGATACAGGACATTCCACCGTCAAAGAAAGTTCTGTTGGACAGTGCTGGGCCAATGTAGGAACTGGGTAAGACTGGCCCTTGGTGGTCTCCTTACTGCTTATGAATCTGTCTCCTGAGAAAGTCAGGAGACACCCCTGCAAGGGGGTAGGGGCTTATAATGGAGAACAGGACAGGGGGCTGGAGACTCAGATGAACCTCACCTGCCACTCCCACCCCCAGACCTGGCAGATGCCCTAACCCCAGCCTCTGCTCTCCTGTAATGCCCTCCCTTCCTTACAAAGAGATGCTGTGGCCCAGAAGGTTGACATGACCTCCAGAGTGACACAGGGAGGAGGGGAGGAGGGAGGAAGAGACAGCCTTGGGTGGTCGGCAGGTTTTCTCCATGAAGGTTTGCGTCAGTAACAAGCTCGTGCTTCCTGTAACCCTACTGTTGTGAGATGACCACACGAACATTTTAGCTTTTTTCCCTTCCAACACTTCTCCATAAGGAAAGAGATGCCCGTGTATATACCATGTGGTTCTGTTGCCTGCTATTTCCCTTAACATTATTTAATGGACATTTGCCCTTGTCATTAGACACTATTCTTATTATAAAGATCTTTTTGAAGAACAAACTGGAGTAACCAAAAAATCCCTGAACTGGCCAGTGCATCCAGAGGCCTAGTTCACCTGCCCCCCGCCCAGCACAGGCTGGTGCACAACAGTCGCCCCGTGACTTTAGCTGAAAATGAACAGTTTGGGTTTGAGGTGGGGAGAACTAACCCACGAATACACAGACAGACCTAAGAAACAGATTTTAAAATAGGCCCAACTGCATATGGAAATTCAGCACCCTATAAAGGTGACATCGCGGATGAAGGGGGAAAGACCTTTCAGTGAGTGGTGCTAGAGTCACTGGAAGAACAAAACCATCTAAGAACTAGAATGAAACGAAAAATGAAGGAATTCCTGTAAACCTGAAAGTCAGGAAAACTTTCCTGATTTCCGAATCCAGGTACATTAAGGGAAAAAAATCTATACATTTGACTAAACAAAAAATTGAGAACAACAACAACAACAAAAAACTTTACGTAGAAAAAAAAAATCCACCATTAGCAAAGTGAAAACATATATTTCAAGCTGGGAAAATATAATACGTAACTTGCATTACAATGGTTAATATTCTAATCTATAGCTTCTAACAATAAGAAAGACACACAAAGAAATGCAAATGGTCTTTTAAACATGTCAAAAAAGGTTCAACCTTGCTCATAGTATAATGAAATAAAAACTACCCTGAAATACCATTTCTTGTTTATCAGATTGGCACAAATCTCAAAATGTGGCCACAATCTGCCGGTGAGGCTGTGGGAATGCGGGGGCTGCCACTCTGTGGAGGGGAATGCCTAGCGAAGTGACAAAAGCATGATCCCTCTGACCCAGTCATCCCACTTACAGGATTCTAGCCTGCAGGCTCCTCGGCAAAAATGAAGAGAGCAATTTCAGCCACACGAGCAGGCAGCCTGAGCAGCCAGGGCTGGGCTCTGGGGGGCTTCGGAGGCACTTTGCCCCCTGTAGGGGGCCAGGCCTGTCCCAAAGATGGGCCCAGGAACAAGTGGTTTGCACATGCGTGATTTTGCGTGTATTATCTTGGAGATTATGGAGACTTTGAATGCCATCCATGTGTGAAACAAACAAAAAAAACCCCTTTGCATTCAAACATTTTTTAGAAAGTTTCTATGTGCTGAGCACACTGTCCTGGGCATCGTGCTTTATACGTTTTAACTCCCTGAATTCCCTTACCTCTTGGTGGAAGGAGGAAGCCGAGGCTCAGTTCAGTGAAAGTCTCATCTGACTGACCCCAAGGCCACCAACTTAACCCCTGAGGTGCTCTGAAAGTAGTAGAAGCTGGCAAAGAGCAGATTCAAGTCCCCTCCATAGAGGTGGCCTGGATGTTGTCACCACAGAGCCCTTAAGGAACTGGAACACGGTGCAGGGCAGTGGCACCACCAGCCCCGATCTGGCGGGAGACCACCCAACTCTACCACCTACAGGAACCTTTCCACTTGGGCCCAAGTCTGCAGTGTGACCCGGAACCAGAGGCACAAGTACAATTAATTGCAGAATAACAACTTGTGACCGAGCTACAGCACGGCTTTTGAAGATTCAAAAATGTTACACCTCTAGGCACAAAAATAAAAGATGCTCCCCTCTAATGAAGTCTCAGCAGAGTTAACCTCGGGTAAACGGATCCATCTCCCGGTTGAAATGTGAATGGAAAAGTAGAGTTACTGACCTGACCGAGGAAGGTGTTGGGAGGAGCAGGCGCAGCAGCTCAGGAGTGGTCTCTGACTGGGGCCAAGGGCAGGGGGTGCTAGGATCCCCTCCAGATGTAGTTG